AAGTTATTAATGCAGTATGTTGCTTTCTTTGAAGTGTTATAAATGATATCATAGCTGATTCTTGCATCATCGGGATGGTGGGGCAAACCTCATCAGGTATGATGAGTTCTTGATGGGGCTGTTTGTAACATCATAGGTGAATCCCACATCATCAATTACAAGGCGCAAGATTCTATACGAGCCTAACAAGGAAAGTGAATTTAAAATGTCTTATCGTAAACAATAATAATATTTTTTAAAATAATAACATTCATCCATTAGATTATTAGTCGACTTTGTAGATAGGGTTTGACTTATGAGTATCTTTAACTAACATCGTCCCATTTGACTATTGCGTTGACTAATGGAAACTCATTCATCCACCAATTCACCTATTATTTATACATTCGAGGTTTTCAACCTAACACATGTACGTTTGAGATATCCGTTTGATAAAAACCATTTGATTGGTGTAAAACGCATATAAAAACATCATAAATCAAAATCAAAGTTTGTTGGTGTTGTAATAATGAGCAACAAAAAATAAAATCTGTAAATATTTGTGTCAGTATATCATATCGAGTAATGTTATATACACCCCTTTATATTAAAATCAAGTCAACCATGAATTTTGTAATGTAAAAAATAAGTCTTGATGTTAATGTATGTAAAGAAGAAATTAATAGATAGAGGTGCATTTAGCAATGTATAGGAGTGCATTTTGCCTTTATTTTGCTAAAAGTACACTTCATAATAGATATTGTCAGTTTTGATAATCAAGTTTTTTTATGTACACAAATCTAACTTTATAAGAGGCAAAGTCAAATTTTGTTTTGTATAACAATATTGCGGTGCCTTTTTTAATAGCAATTTTAATAAAAAAAATCAGATAAAGAAAAGCTTACTGATAGTGCATTTAGACTTCCAAATTGTTTCTTTAAACTAAATGCTGCAATGTTTCAAACGGTAAATTTGTAGTGGTTTATTGAATTTTTGTAGTTTGAACGTTTGGGTAGACCTCGGAATTTTTGTAGTTTGAATTCTAGCTATTATTTTTTCAGGTCAAAATTCGAACTATTTGCTATTCAACTTATCTCGTTTCGGCCCTCTGAAATAAATTAAAATATTTCATGAAAATCAAAATATTTTTAATTTGGTTAATTTTCAAAATAGAACTCTTTAATAGGCTGCCAAAAATAAATTATTTTTTGTTATCTTTTTAAATTGTATTTTAATGAAAAGTAGAATAATATTGGATTTATCATCTACAAGCTTGTCTTGCCAAGTATGAGAAATTGCTAAAAAGGTGGTTGAATAAAGTGGAGGCACTTTATGTGTGTATTTTTTTACATATCTCAGTTACTTTTTACTAAATATAGTTAATTCATTGGTTAGTTTATCAGCCAGCCGTTTGTTTATCAATTAGTTTACCAAACATGCCTTCAGAAATATAACTCAGTTGACAAAGAGATGAAACGACTTTGCTCAAATACACAACGGATTCAAGTTTGATCCCTGTGAAAGACAGGCTTAAACCATTTTGCTAGCCCGAGCTGATGAATCAGTTCTAAAATGCCTACTTATATATGGTTTTGTGTGGACCAATCGAGGTTGGAGGTAATCAATCTTTTGCACAAACATAGCTTTATTGTATTTGTTTTGTTTGATTTGAAAAAGCATACATGTACCATTGTCGTTTTAGTTACATAAATTAATATGAATTGTTAATTTACAACGAGAAAATTGACTTGGTAAATTTTTTATTTCTTTTGTCCCAAATAAATATTCATATTTTTATTTATATAAGTGTCTAGTTTGAAAAATAAATAACTAAATTCTTTAATATACTCTTAATTAATACACTAATATTTAAGAGTTGTGAAGAGAGAGAAAAATTAAATAAGAGTAAAATTGTCACTTTAACTAAAAAGTATAATAATTATGAATGTTTAAAATTATCTTCGGGGCTGTTTGACGATTGCTGAATGGTTTGGTGCAGAATGGTTAAGAGGGCTAGAATGGTTAAGTGTTGAATGAAATAATGTTGTTTGGTAATTGTTCTCTGAATAACAATAAATTACCATTTTAACCCTCTGTATGATTTAGTACTGAATGAAATAGAGTTGTTTGACAGATATTTGAATAAAACAATTATTTTGCATATCTACATATTTACATATTAATCCAACTAATTCCATACCTAATCTAAACAATTTTATAAAGCGACCATACACAATTACCATAACCATTACCATAACAATTACCTACAGATGTTCTAAGTCAAGTCAATAAATGAACAAGTCAAGAATTAAGTTTATTAAGTCAAGTCAATAAATGAACAAGTCATACGAAGAAATGTCCAAAACAATGTATAGATTCAAGAAAGTCAAGAATTCAGTTTGTTTATTACTCTAAGAAGATGAAATTTGGAAAGAAAAAAGGAACAAGTCCAAATTGCTAACAATGAAATTTATTAGCAATAGGGGTATAGCCATTTTCTAACAGTAGGCTTGTGAACAAGTCCAAGTTGTTCACACAAATAACAACAATCGTAGAGGAAACGGTATAGGAAGCAAGGAAATACCTGTTGTGAATAACAACAATCATTTTCTAACAATAGGCTTGTGAACATTTTCTAAAAAATGTCGAAAGTGAATAACCCCGAATCAACTTGGGGTATAGTCATTTTCTGTTTTTCATGAAAATTATCCCATCCAGATAACGACAGAAGTTGATATGGTATAGGAAGCGAGGAAATACCTGAAGCGATGTCGAAAAGGATGGAGGGAAGCAGTAGGGGCGGCGACCGGAAGAGCTGCTGGAAGACGGCGACCGGACGAGCTGCTGGAAGAAGGCGAACGGAGACGGCGACCGGAAGAGCGACGATCGTTGGGGGGAGCGATGTGAAGGAACGGCTGGTGTAGAGAGTAGAGAGGGCAAACTTGGAAAAAATGAAATCTAAATGATTTAGTGAAGCCCTAGACACAAAATGGTTAAGACGTTAATATGTAACCATTAAGAGCCTTATTTTTTTTTTGTTGCCAAACAGCCCTTACCTCTTACCGATTAAGAGGTTGACTCTTAGTGTCACCATTAATAGTCAAACAAACAGCCCCTTCATTTTAATTATACACTTAGGAGCCGTTTACTAAACACTTAATTGGTAAGTGTTTAACGGATAAATTTCCTCATTGGATGAACTTGAGAAGAACCAAATATCTTATCGGATAAAAGCGATGAGAAAGATGGAGAGTCTTATCCGACAAGTGAGGATGACGACTCTTACCCAAGTAAGCGCTTACCCAGTAAATTGTTGCATTCGATATGTTTTGATGTACTAAATCTTACCCATCAAAATAAAATATAGTGTTGACTCCTACCGGTAAACTCTTACTGAGTGAATATTCGGGTAAACGGCCCCTTAGTTTGAGATGGATAGAGTAATAATTTAACCAGAGGTGAAAAAAAAAGTAAGTAGCTAATTATATATTATATAATTAATGAATATTTTATTCGAGTATAACCTAAAATGTGGAATTATCATATCACGTATTTATCATTTAACCTCTTTTATTAATAGAAAAATCAATGACAAAAATTGAGGGTGCACAACGATGATTATGGTTAATTGGTTATACAAGAAAACGGTTTTATCTTTATTTTTTTACCCACCATGTCATAAAAAAGGTAAAATAGTACATTTATTTTTTGGGTTAGAATTCCGGTAAGAATAAGGGTTATGGTGAAAAAAGTAAGAAATGATCTTCACCCTAAGATCAATCCTAATTGAAAATCAACACGAATTAAATGCTCCAAAACAATTCCCCTATCAATCACAATTGATGGGATAAGATGAGATTAAAAGTCTTTTCTTAGGCTTCTCATTTTAACTTTTATTCTTACATGATCTTTCGTCTTTATATCTATCTTTGTGCATATTATATAAAGAAAGGTTTACTAAATTAAACATGTTACAGTTTCTTCTCTCTCTTGACCAAAATGCATAAATTATACAAACAAAAACCAAACATATATTTGCCAGAAAACTACATTTACGGTTTATATTCATACACAAAATGTTGAACATGTGATGGAGAGAGGTAAGCTCTAGTCGGCCCAAAACATTGATTCCTCATAACGAATAGGCTACCCCGCAAAGTGGCTTCTCATTTATCCCCAAAGGAAGCTTAGGTGAAAACTAGATCAAATAGAAATAGCTGAATCCCAAAACAAACCATAAAGTTTACACTAAAATCCTTAAACAAATGTATTTAAAGTCAGAGTACAAAGAAAACAGTTCAATTCCATTTATTAAGGGGCTATTTGTCAGTTGCTAAATGGTTTTATGCAGAATCATTAAATGGTCAGAATGAGTAAGAGGCTCTTATGATATTATGCAAAATGAAATATAGATTATTTGGTAATTGTTCACAATGAAATTAGGGCTCTTAATGGTTAAGGGAGGCTCAGGATACAAAACAATTCAGAAGGTTTTAGAACCATTAAGAAACATTTTTTTTTGTCAAATAAGGTTCACCTCTTAACAATTCAGAGATTGACTCTTAATGAAACTATTAAGAGGTAAACAAACAACCCCTAAGAGTTGTTTATCGAGTCACTTACCTTATCAATGATCAAAAACCTTGTTCGATAAGAATCATGACAAAGATCGAGAATATTATCTTACGAGAATAAAAAAATCCCACCCCCACCGGTCAACTTACCAAAAATGTTGGTATACCATTTTGATACGTCAGAAACTTGTATGTTATTTCACCTTTATTGAAAAATAAAACAGAAAAAGAAAAATCCGAACCTCTCCCATCTCCATTGCTAAACCCCAAATGTACGTCATACGAACTCTGAAACATCATCCACCACCATTTCCTCCGCTTTAGACAACAATCACTCCTTTATTCTGTCTCCCAATTCAACGAGGCACGTGCTGCATTTCATTCGAACACCATATACATATAACCCACATTCATCAACTTTACAAAGTAAAACCACTCCTCTCTCTAATGACCAGAACCAAGAGATGTGCTTCCCTCATCTCACATGGCCTTGTCTTTCTCTTTTCTCTTTTATTTTTTCCTACACCATCACTCTCTGTCTCCTTCATTTACAATGGTTTCAAAGGCCTAAACTCCGATAACATAACTTTGAACGGAGTTGCAGACATCATTCATGGTGGCGTTCTCCAGCTCACCAACCAAACTTCTCGCTTGATCGGCCAAGGGTTTTACCCGAATCACATCCGTTTCAAGAACCCCACCACTAAAACACCCCTTTCCTTCTCTACTTCCTTTGTCTTCGCCATCGTGCCGGAATACGCAAGGCTCGGTGGCCACGGTCTAGCTTTCACCGTCTCTCCGACCAGAGACCTTACCGGAGCTCAACCCAGTCAGTATCTTGGACTCCTCAACGTCACCGACAATGGGAACACATCCAACCACTTACTTGCCATAGAATTTGATACTGTTCAAGATTTTGAATTCTCTGATATTAATGACAACCATGTTGGAATTAACATCAACAGCATGGCATCAAACTATTCCACCAAAGCTGGGTTCTTCGTTGATGGCAATTCAACAAAACAAGATGTTAATTTGAAAGGACGGCAAAAGATTCAAGCTTGGGTAGATTATGACGCCCTAAAAGCCCAACTAAATGTCACTATTTCACTGCACTTGGATAAACCCACTACGCCAATCTTGTCTGTTCCCGTGGATCTCTCGTCGGTTTTTCATGATTTCATGTACGTGGGGTTTTCAGCCTCAACAGGTCTGCTTGCCAGCTCTCATTATATCTTCGGTTGGAGCTTTAATATGGGGGGAAAAGCTCAATCTTTGGATCTTTCTAATCTCCCTTCAATACCAGGAGCTAGAAAGAACCACACAGGTTTCATAATCGGTGTTTCTATTGCAGTCTTTTTAGCGCTCGTGATTGCCATTGCTGGTGTTGTTTTTGTGATCAAGAAATCAAAAGAAGTGGATGAGATTGAGGAATGGGAGCTTGATCTAGGCCCACATAGATATTCCTACAAGGAGTTGAAGGAGGCTACTAAGGGGTTTAGAGATGAAGAATTACTTGGGTTTGGTGGATTTGGGAGTGTTTACAAAGGGATTTTGCCTAATTCTAAAACCCTAGTGGCAGTTAAGCGAATTTCAAATGAATCAAAACAGGGGATGAGAGCATTTGTATCAGAGATCTCGACTATTGGCCGACTCCGGCATAGGAATTTGGTTCAGTTGTTAGGTTGGTGTAGAAAGGGAGGAATTTTGTTGCTTGTATATGAATTCATGGCTAATGGTAGCTTAGATAAGTACATTTATGATGATCCTAAATTTGTTTTAACTTGGGAAGAAAGATTCAAGATCATAAAGGGCGTAGCTCTTGGGTTGTTGTATTTACATGAAGAATGGCAGCAGACTGTGCTTCATAGAGACATTAAAGCAGGGAATGTATTATTAGACTCGGAGCTAAATGGACATTTAGGTGATTTCGGGCTGGCTAAGTTATGTGAACATGGATCACACTCGAACACAACAAAAGTGGTTGGCACATTAGGTTATTTGGCTCCTGAGTTAACACGAACAGGTAAGCCCACCACAAGCTCAGATGTGTTTGCTTTCGGGGCTTTATTGTTAGAGGTGGTGTGCGGGAGGAGACCTATTGAGCAAAAGGCGTTGCCTGAGGAGCTCATTTTGGTGGATTGGGTGTGGGACAAGTGGACAAAACGGGAAGTTCTAGAGGTCGTTGATTCAAGGTTGAATGGTCAGTTCAATGAGGTCGAGGTTTTGGTGGTTATCAAGCTAGGGCTAATGTGTTCTAGTAATGCACCTTCCGCGAGGCCTGCTTTGAGGCAGGTTATCAGGTACTTGGAAGGGGAGGTTCCCTTGCCTGAAGGTTTACCTTCGCCATGTGAGGGTGGTGAAAAGGACGGTCACATGGTGGAGATTGAAGATTATGTGCATTCTTATCCATCTTCGTCTTTTCTAGACAAGGTAAGCAACTGGTCAGCGGGAGTTGAGGAAGGGTATGTTGATGTTGAAGCCATTCCGGCTTCACCACTCTCGATTTCCAGCAAGGAGGAGAACAAGTGCTCATGAGAGAGTTAGACAGCTGTTTCTCTTTGCTTTAAGATGATAATTTTTGGGCTTGTTTTGGTTTTCTTTCTTCTAGTTTTCAGTTCTGTAGTTTGCTGCTTGTAACTAGTTCTGTTCTTTTTGTTGTTAGATTCAAGGATTATGCCTCTCTCTCTTCTAACTACGAGTTCTTAAAACATGCGGAGGAAACTAATCTTGAATTTTTGTTATAGCATAGAATATGGCATTAGAACAACATTTACATGAGAGAGAGCAATAAATAATCGATTTCTTCAAATTTTGACAGAATATGATGCCCAAAACTAAGAAAGAAAACGAAAGAAGAAAATTAACAAAGCTTACCGACTTGCTGTACATTATTTTCACCATTTTCATCTTCACCATCTTTCAACCCATCAAAAATCTCATGATCATCAAACCCTGCACAGAGAAGATGTGAATTAATCTTTATAAGATTAGCACCACTAACGGTCAATGCACAAAAGTTGGAATCAGTAAATAATCAAGTAAAAGTTGAAAATACCTTCACCAAGGGCTTCAATATCATCAACTTGGGGTCCTAAAACCATAATGTTACCTAACGGTGGATCAACTGTCATCCAATCTGACCTACCAATGTCATCTGTTTGAATCTCCCTCTCTGTTACCCATGGCTCAACAGAGTTGATGTTGTCATATGAAACGGGATCAGGATTATCCTGCTCTTTGTTCAAAAACCTAGAAGATCATTTGCCTTTAGAATCTTTCCATATAGAAAACAATAATTTTTTAATGAAATAAAAAAGAAACAATTGGGACTCACATTTGCTTTAATCTCATGTTGTATTGAACAAATACAACATCACTGAGCCTCTGGTGTTCAACATAATTCTTTGTTTCATGAATCTGTTGGAAAGGGATCCTGTTTGGCCTACACCCAACCAAACTGCAAGTTTGACTAAGAATTCGAATGGCTAAACGAGCCAAGTTTGGACAAGCCCCTCCATACGTTGACCACCACTCAGCTATACCAATCAATGGGTGAAATACGATAAGTCCAATTATAGCTTAAAACAGCATATTATTAAAAAAAGACAAATACTTGTTCCACAGAAGGAACATTTTTATATTTCATCAGCCTGCTCAAAGGTTGAAAGATAAACCGGATGAAAGGAAAAGTACAATCTTGCAAAACCCAAGTACAACCCACATAGCATGCTGCAGAAAACTGACTAGCGACAACTAAGAAGCAATTAAACACACAAGGGCTTAATTTATCTAAAACAACAATAATAACACTAAGGCTTACCAGGAAGTAAGGTCTCTCTGCCTCTTATCGCTATTTTCCTCCCAAAATCACCAGCAGCACCACGATAAGATGTTGTCTCTTTAACAATTTTATCTTGGATTGATGTGTCAGGAATCAACCTTTCCACGCAATCATAGACTGATGACCTGATCTGAAGATGTATATCTCCTTCAGTACTATAAAAGAACTTTGGGTTAAGATAAAAACCTGCAGCGTGAAGAGGATGACGATAAAGTTGTTCCCACCTACGATCTATTATGTTCCAATAAACCATATAATCTTTCTTATCAACAAGTTCTTTCTTAATTGCTTCTTTTGCACGATATACCCCTGCATAAACATACCCCATTCCTGGTCTGTTTTTGCTGCTAACAATTCTTAAAAGCCTCAATAAAGGATCTGTTAGTCGGGAAATTACTGTACACATGGACCAAAAAGATGGATTGCTAATATAATCCAAAGTAGCGTATCCCTCTTCTTTCTTGGAGTATGAACACTCCATCCACTCCTCTGAGGTTACCATGGATTGGAGGTTGTGCTTGACGCTTACCATCCGTTTCAGTGTGGCAAAATCCGTTGAAGAACGTGTGGGACCCACTACAACAATGTCAACTCCAAAAGTGTACCTTCTCATCATATTCAAAATGAGGCTATGATTGTAAATGAATCTTGATATCGATCTAGCTTGTTCCAGTATCGTACTTATCCATTCGAGTTCTCTGAAATCCTCTAACATCAAATCCACACAATGAGTTGCACATGGTGTCCAGAAAATGGWAGGGAAATTATCAGCAATTCGTTTCCCTACTTCAACATAATGTTCATCATTATTAGTAACAATTTGCAGCACATTTCTCACTCCAACTTCTTCCACAACGTCCTTAAACAAAGCAAATAAAGCGTCTGTAGATTCAACTATGTTGGTCACATCAACAGACCTCAGAAACATTAGTCCTTCAGGACAATACACTGAGAAATTCAGAAACATTTTACCATTTTCTGATGTCCACTCGTCACCTAAAACAGAACAACCGCTCTTTCCCCAAGTCCCCATGCATTGATCAACATCACTTCTCACTTCTTGAACTGTATTCTTCAAGATCCAGCTTCGAAGATCATGATAAGAAGGCCCCACAACTCCTGAGCCTTGTGAAGCAATTGCATCAATCATGGGTTGGAAATATATGGAGTTCACAGCATCTAAAKGTATGCCGACATCAAACAAAAACCGCCCAATTGCTAAACTAACTTGATGGTTAACCCTTTTTGAATCATCATACACAGTATCATTAAGAGCTACAACATTCAAACCTTTTCTCACTCTACATCCTTTCTTTCTCCTACCTCCACCTCTCTTATTACTAGCAGTGCCCTCCTCTCCTTGTGTAACTAATAAACTAGAATCCGGCTCAATCGCTTCAGCAATAGGAAGCATTAGAACTTCAGTGTTCAAAGCACATTGATTCCCAAAAGCATCAGCCTCACCAGAATTGAAATTAGTGATCTCTTCAGCCAGTTTCTGTTTTTTTCTCTTCTTCACTACAACCCCATTTAAGCTCTCTTGCATCAACAGACGAACATCAGGCTGCACCCTTAAACAACTAGACGCATTACCTTTTTGACCTGCGAGGTGTTCTTTAATCCTATGAATCCCACCACCTTTAAACATTTTGCCACAATATATACACTTGAGTTGAACCTTATCGCCACTTTTATACATTTGACAATGCTTCCATGCTGGATCATGTTTTTGTGAATTTACTGGTACTGGTTCTAAATCGGAAGCCATTTTTCAGGCTTCGCGAGCAGACATAAAACTAGCTATCTTTATGATGTATGTAAGTACTAATCATCTACAGCATTAGTAGCTACAAATTCCAACCATCACCGAATCAAATTCTATCTTCAAAACATAATATATGCAAAATCAACTACAATAAGAGCATATGGATTATACGAAAAAAAGGGCTGATGAGATAGAAACTTACTTGATTTTTTAAATTTCTTCGTCCAAAATCTGGCGAGACCGAGTTACGGGGGTTAGGGTTATTATAGTTGGAAGATGAGTCGATGGAGAACCGGATAGACCGGTTGACGGGTTATATTTAGCCCGGGTTTTAATATAAGATCATCCACATCCCTGCAATCCATTTACACTTTCAATTGTGCCACATCAGCTTTTG